ACACAAAATGTTCCTGATTCACTAAATTCTTTCAGAATCTCCAAATTCCGAATTTTGGACTCCCAGATTTCCCTCCATGTTTTCCCCAAGTTCTTCCTCTTAACCCTAAATTGTCTCTCTGATTTAACCAAACATTCTTGGTTTTCCCAAATTCTCTATTTTCCCCTCAAATGCTTATTTTCTCTCAAAACCTCCATTATCTGACCTGTTAATTTCCCACAATTTCACCCAATTTTTCCTGGAGTATTCCTGAATAACCAAATTCTTTCCCCCAAATATAATCTTAATTTGTTTATTTCCAAACCACCCTCAAACTCTTCCTTCAACTTCTCTTCAAAGTCTTCTCTTAGCCTGCCCCCAATTTTTCTTTTTGCTTTAACCAACTTCTCATTTCCCCCCCAAACTTGCCCAAATCTTTATTTTCCCTCAAAATTCCTCATAAGCTCCCAACCTCTTATTTTAATTTTCTCTAACTTCATTGCCGCTTTTACCCAATTCTTTCCAAATTTTCTCCACAAATACTGAAAAATTTCCCCCTTAATCCCCCCACGTATTTTCCTTGGAACACCCAAATTTACCACTTGGTTCCCCCATCCCATCAACATCCCTTTGGTTTTCCATCAAAATTCCTAACTGTCCTAAGTTTCCCTTACTGGCTTTCTGTGGAGTCCTACCCTTCCAAACCCCTTTCCTTTCACTCTCTTTTTTTTGTTTGTTAATCCTCACCCGAGGATATTTCCCCCCATTGTTTTAGAAAGAGTGGAAGGGAGGTAGAGACTGGTTGCCTCCCTCAGGGTATGGAGCCAGCAACCCAGATTCGTGCCCCTGCGAGAATCGAACCCGCGACCCTTCGGTGGGTGGGGAAACGCGCTACTTTATCCACTGAGCTACCGGCCAAGACACAAGTCCCAATCTCGCCGGCCCATCGTCCCTCATCCCTGCCTCTGATTGGCTGGGTGCGCCCATCGGAACGCATTCTCTGCTCCTTTATTGGTTTCTTTCAGCCAGTCCCCGCCCCCTCTTCCTCGCTGAAGCTCCCCAGCAGCCTGCGACCCACAGCGTCCTTCCCGGCCCCCAGCAGCCCCGTCTCCACTGCCAGCGCGAGGCCTGGCCGGGGTCCTCCTGCTGCCCCGCGCCCCTCGCTGCCCGGGCGCCGGCAGAGACCCTGAAGGCAGAGGCAGCCGAGCGGACTTCAATTCGGGGGGTTCTAGGAACCCCGAGACCTACCGCCCTGGGCGCCGCCATCTTGTTGAGATTATGTAACCGGAAGGGGCCGGTCCTTTCTTGTCCCACCCACCTGGCTCTGTCGTCATCTTTTTTTATGGTTGCATTCTCCTCTTAAAGGCACACGCACTTTTTGCTCGGGTTGAGAGATTGCCCTGCGTGCCCTCTCTGTAGACTTTATAATGGGACCCTCTCCGCTTTCCCGAGGGGAGGGTGGGCAGTGCTTCCTGTCAGAGCACCTTCCTTCCTGTGACTGCAGCCTCGGTTCCCTGAGCTCCCTCTTCTCCAGCTCTCACCCGCTACCTCCTTGCAAGGATGTACCTCAAAAGCTGACCAGCATTCTTTTTCCTGGGAGGGGAAGAGGTCGGAGTGGGTGGTGAGGTTAGACTTCAGGTAAGAGGAGGAGGTGAGATCTCAAGATTAGTATTGTGATGTGTTTGATTTCAGTTTGGAGCTCAGAGTGAAGCTTCAGTGTGAAGACTTGTGGATAGAATTATCCATCCATCCATCCATCCATCCATTCATTCCACAAATATTTACTGAGCAAGTAGCATGGGGCAGGCACTGCCCTGGGTGCTGAGGTTACCGTGGTGAACAGGACAGACCCAGCCCCTTTCTCAGGGAGTCGACATTCCAGGCAAGGAGAGGATGGATAAGAGACATGAATAAGCAGCATACTTTCAGCTAATATTTGATAAGAGGCAAATAAACACAGGTCATATAATAGGGAGTGACCGTGATATAGGGCCATCAGAAGAGGTGACATTTAAGCGGAGGATAAGAAGGAAACAGCCATTCAAAATTCTGGGAGGAGAGTGTTCCAGGCACCTGAATGTAACAGCCAGTGCAAAGGCCCAGAGATGGGAACCATCTTGAAAAGAGGTAGAAGACAGGGTCCGACAGGTGCAGGCATGGTAGGATTTTATTCCACTCACAGGGCAGATCTGTGTAAAGATCATGTCTGCCAGGCTGAAAACTGATCTTAGAGGGCAAGGGTGGAAGCAGGGGGCAGCAAAGAGGCTACTGTCGTCATCCAGACCAGAGATGAGGGGACAGGAGCAGGGATGGGGCAATGAGCATGGTGAGAAGTGTTCAGTTTATGAGTCTGTTTTGAAGGTCGGGCCAACAGCTTGAGCAACTAAAATGATAGAGATGGGGAATAGCAGGTGTTTGGAAGGACAGGTGTGGTAGGCTGAAAATGACCCGACCCCCTCTCACTGCCCCCGCCCCACCCCAATATCCATGTTCTGATCCCTGGGACTGTGCCTGTTACTTTCTATGGTAAACAAAACATGTGGTTAAGTTGAACAATCTTGAGTTGGGGAGATTTCCTGGATAATTGAGGGGGGCCCAATGTAATCATGAGGGTGTTATAAACTGGAGGCAGGAGAGTCCTGATGATAGGTGCAAGAGGCTGGAGTGATGCAAGGAAGGGGCTATGAGCCAAGGAATGTGGGTGGCTTCTAGAAGCTGGGTAAGGTTAGGAAACATTCTCCCCTAGAGCCTCCAGAAGGAACCGAGCCCTGTGAACCCACTTTAGACCTCTGACCTCCAGAACTGTAAGAGGATAACTTTGTGCTATTTTAAGCCACTAAGTTTGTGGTAATTGTTATAGCAGCACCAGGAAACGAATACAATGGGGTAGGTCCCGACTGAGAGTTCTCTTTTGACCCTATTCACCTTGAGACATCCAGGTGGATAGGCTGAGCAGGGGTCTGAATCTCAGGAGGGAGGTCAGGACTAGAGTCAGGAACTTAGGAGCCATTGACATGTCAAAGGAATTTGAACACCTGTGCCTGACAGAGGGGCTCTAGCCGAGGCCTGGAGTGTGTTCCAACCGTGTCCCTGGCAATGCTGATAGTAATAATATCCGTGGGCAAGTCTAGAGTCGGCAGAATTGGTTGCTCAGTGAAAGTCAACAGCCTGGACACGGAGGCAGCCCTGCTGAGGAAGGACCATTCTCTTGGAAGCCACTCCTAGCTCCTCAGACGACTGGTTGAAAAGCCCTGGGATGGCCTGAGTGGAGAAAGGCAAGAACCACCCTGGGGTTTGAGGATGAGTGGTGGGAGGTTACTCAGGAGAGGGCTAGATAGGATGCAGCCAGGCAGGGGGTGGGGGAGGGGGGTGGAGTTGGACCCTTGTGAACAGAGTTGAGGTTAGACTTCAGAAAGAAAAAAATGCTGATTCTCACTGAAGAATGGACTTTGGGACGCCATGTCAGACCCTCCTACCACCACCCTCCCACTGCCCTTTACTCCCCTACCCCCCAGATCCCCAGGGGGTGGGGTTAGTCTGGACCTTGCTACTTCCTGCTCTTGGCAGCCACTGCTCAGAGACTATGGAGCTGTGGAAACAGCTGAGGCAGGCTGGACTGGTGCCCCCAGGGCTGGGTCCACCCCCCAGGGCCCTGAGGGGTGTACCCCCATCATGGAGAGCTGGCCAGACCCTCATGTCCCCAGGGACAGACACTGATGGTACCAGGGAGTGTCTGCTGTGGATCTGGGAGGAGCTGGTGAGTGAGGAGTTTGGAGGGACAAGAGATAGAGTAGAGGGTAGGGGGAGAATGAATGAGTGGCAATGTATGAAAATAGAAGGGCCAGAGATTGAAAGTCAGAAATTGAGAGACAGGAATAGAGAAATAAACACACACACACACACACACACACACACACCTAGAGAGAGAGAGAGAGAGAGAGACAGAAACAGACACATAGACCCAAAGAGTGAGAGCTAGGAATAGAGACAGAGACACAGAGAGGGACCCAGAAAGAAAGAGGTAGAGTTGGAAAGTAGAGATTGAGGACAGCAACAGAGACAGAGAGACTCAGATTAAATCCGAGAGACAACAGCAGAGAAATAGAGACAGAGAAAGATGGATATGGAAAGACAAAGAGACAAAGACAGCTGGCGACACAGAGAGATAGGTAACAAGAGAGGGAAACGAGAAACAAAGAGATTAAGAGTCAGACACATACAGAGGGAGGTAGAGACAGGGAGGAACAATGAAATACAGAAACAGTTCAACAGACACTGTGAGAAGCAGGGTGACAGGTCCAGGGACATAGTGAGGACCTGCCCAAGAACACATGTTACAGGTGGTAAGGTGTTGGGTATAGGGACCATTGTGATGGGATTTTGCAGTGCAGGAGAGAGATAGAGCTCAACTCCAAATACAGCATGGGCAAGTGGAAATTTACAACTTAGGAGCCGCTGGGGGTTAGCGGATAGAAAATTACATTAACGGGAAGGGGCATTTTTGGTAAAGTGACTCAGCAGGAGTCCCGCTGAAGGGAGGCCAGGGTGATCAGACATCACCTGGGGGAAATGAGAGGATGGGGAACCCGCTTAGATAGGATATGGAGAGTATTCAGGTGTGGAGGCTGGGGATTCTGGCTAAAAGTGGATTTTACAAGGAGGTGCAGAGATAGGCCTAGGAAAAGATACAGGAGCCCGACTAAAGTTTTGTCAAGCAAAGAATCTTTGTTAGGTCTTGAGCTGGGACTTGCTCCCACCCAGGTTGGGGGGGCCAAGGGAGGATGCTCTCTGGGTGGAATGCCTATGACTTCCATTTCCCTCTGACAGGAGAACCTTCGAAGAGTGGATGTCCAGCTGCTCGGCCAGCTGTGTAGCTTGGGGCTGGAGATGGCGGTGCTGCAGGAGGAGCTGGTTGCTTTCCTGGAAGAGGAGGAGGAGGAGGAGATCTTCAAGGAAGAGGAGGAGGATGAAGAGCCAGAGGGACAGCAAGAGGAAGTACATCTGGGGGTCTCCTGCCCAGCCTCAGGCCACCGGCTCCCCGACTTTGAGATGACTATCTGAGGCCCTGCCAGGGTGTTTCTCATTGGCATATGGAACTTTATGAAAACGTATGCAAAGAGGAGTGATTTGAAGGTCAGATCAACCTGCAAAGGTTCTGAAGATGCCTGCAGTGAGATTCGGGGATTGGCCTGGAGCGGTGGGCGTGTTTGAAGATGGTGTGGGAAGTTTTCAGAAAAACTGTAGGTGTGTTTGCAGATGAGCTGCAGGAGTGTTGGAGGGGAGATGTGGGCCTTTGCAAGTAGAATGCAGATGCTTGCAGGTGAAGTTTTAGAGCCAGGCATCCACTGGCTCCATGTGGCTGTTGAGCACTTGAAGTTGGCAAGCCCTAACTGAGGTGCACTGTAAGTGTAACATACATGCTGAATGCTAAATTTTCACAGGCTTAGTATGATAAGAATATAAAACATTTCAATCATATTAAAATTACATATTGAAATGATATTTTGAGTATATTGTAATACATAAAATATTACTCTATTTCATCTGTTAAAGATTTTTATTGTAGTAAATTATACATTAAAATGAACAATTTTAACTATTTTTTAAGTGTACAGTTCAGTAGTGTTAATTACGTACATTCACGTTATTGTGCAACCACCGCCACCATCCACCGCCAGAGCCCTTTTCATCTTACAAAGCGGAAACTACCCATTAAACAGCTCCCCATGCCCCTCGTCCCTCAGCCCCTGGCAGCCACCTTTCTACTTTGTGTCTCCACGAATTTGGCTACTCCAGGAACCTCATGTAAGTGGGATTATACAGTATTTGTCCTTTTGTGTCTCACTTATTTTACTTAGCACAATGTCTTTAAGGTTCATCCATGTTGTGGCATGTGCCAGAATTTTCTTTCTTTTTTATGCTGAATAATATCCCATAGTGTGTACATTCCACATTTTGTTTATCATTCATCTGTCCATGGACACTTGGGTTGTTTCTACCTTTTGGCTAGTATGAATAATGCTGTTATAAACATGGGTGTACAAATATCTGTTCAAGTCCTTGCTTTCAATTCTTTTGGGTCTATAACTAGAAGTGGGATTTCTGGATCATATAGTAATTCTATGTTTAATTTTTAATTTTTATTTTGAGAGTACGTTTATTAAAGCTGGGAACAGTGAAACCAGGAAGGGCTTTAGGATAGAAGACGCAACAGGAGGGCCTAGGCGGGGCTATTTTAGCTCTCTAGCAATGTTATAGGAAAGAAGTGAGCCTGGGTGGGGCTGTGTTGGCTCATTGAAAGGTCAGAGAAAAGGGTGCTTTGGAGATGGGGTGGGGGTGGGGGTAGCCCAGGATGAGTTGCTGCTGCCCATATTTTCCCTGGTTGCAAATGTGTGGGGACCCTTAGAGTTTAGGAGATGCATGCCTGTGGGGGAAGAGGGGTGTGGGCGTGCTCCCCAGAGGGAGAATGGCCTATGTTTAACTTTCTGAGGAACCAGCGGACTGTTTTCCACAGTGGCTGTCTAAGCGTAGCTATTAATAAAGAAAGGAAGCAAAGGGAATCAGGCATTGTTAGGCCTAATCTACGGGGCAGCATAAGCCTGCTTCCCTAGGAAGCTGCAGCATTCATATCATAGGCACTCCAGGGAACACAGGGCTGCCTGCCAAGGGCATTCTCGCTCCAGGGACCACAGGCTGAACACTGACCTTTGTTCTGTGCTTGGTGAAGACAAGGCTGGACTTTTCTTGGTGAAAAAGGGGGGGGGGGGGGGGGGGAGCTGAGACACCACAGCTGAACCTCGGACAGTCCTTTGTATTTATGTCAATAAACCTTACCATTCCTCCCACATGGGGGTCTCCCCGAATGCTTTCAGGGAGGCCCCCTGAAAGGACGCATTCCCACTAGCAACACTGTACCATTTGACATTTCTGCCAACAGTACACCAGAGCTCCAATTTCTCCACACCCTTTTTCTTTTTTTTCACAATAGCCATCCTAATTAAGCATCGTTTCAAGTGCTTATTCATGTTTCTTCTTACATTTTAAAATATGGCTGCAAGAAAATTAAAATTACACACATAGCTCCCACTGTATTTCTATTGCACAGCTCTATTTCAGAGGTCTGACCATGGAATGTGGGTGTGAGCCAATGAGCAGTGAGCATTTATTATGTCCCCAGATGTGTTGCAAATGAGTCACAGCTCCACCTGCAGGAGACGCCAGGTATCGGCGCGTGGTGGCTGAGGAAGAGCAGACTGTAAATGCCCCTATTGCCTAGGTCCACATTTGCAGAAAAGGTGCCCAAGACAGAGGCGGAGAGCTCCAGCCTGAGGGGAGACATCGCCTCAGGAGAGATATTTAGGCATTCACAAAACCAGACGCCCATTTTTGCAATTCCTTATCTAAGCAATTTCTAGTAGGGAGTGAGGATGTTCACAGAGAAGTGAGGTGTTGGCAGAAGAGGTGCTGAGTTCCTCTCCATGGAGATTTCCCTCTTAAAGACAAGCTGCCTCCTTTTGTCCATAGAGTCCCTCAAGACTGGAGCCCTTGGGTGGGGGGTTGGGCATTCAGGCCCAATCCCCCAACCTGGTCCTCCTTAGCCAATCTGAGCCAGGTCTGAAGCTTCCGGGATCTCTGCTGAAGGAGGTGGGAGGAAGGAAGGCTGGGGAGAATGCTGAAAGTCAGACCAGTACCCAGTGCAGGGGAAAGACAACCCAAGAGCATGGATGTGAGCAGAGCTCCCTCCCCCTCACTTGGCACTCTAGAAAGAGGCTGGACAGTTTGGGGCCTCTTGGAAGCTACACCCAGTGTGCCTGGGTCCATGCTTCACAGATGCCAAGTCTGTTGGGAGAAAGGAACTGGGGTTGGGGAAAGGCACTGAGGGGGGACTGGAGGGAGTGACTCGGGAGGGAATGCTCACTGTGCAAGAACAGCATGGCGAGTGGCCCCTGACATCTGGGTGGGAGTTGCTCTCAGCCATGGCCTGGACCATGGAGGTGACCTCTATGAGGGAGGCACCCAGGGAACTTGGTTGGATGTGGCCAGTTCCACCGGTATTGTCATCAATGCCAATGTTACTGAGCTATATACGGCAATGACTATGTGAGCACCAGGTCTGCCCTCCTGGGCCTCTCCACCCAGCAAAAGGGGAGAAACCCCTCACCACACAGGGGCTGGGATGGTGGAGGCACAGGTGGCTGAAAGGACTCAGAAGAAACAGCAGGCCCTGCCCGAAACATTAGGAAAGTGATCTCGAAGGAAAACGGAAGGAATAATTAAAAATGAGTCAAGCAAAGAAAGGAAATGGGAAGAGTATAACAAGCAGAAAAACAGCATACACAAAAGCTGGGAGAAGATCTAGTGATCTAACCCCTGGCTACTCCAAGTGTGGTCCATGGACCAGCAGTATCAGCATGGCTACAGCTATCTACTGATGCATAACAAACAGCCCAAAACTCAGTTGTTTTTCAACAATGACAGCATGCATTTTGCTCATGAATCTGCAATCTGCAGGGATAGCTTCAGCTAGAACAGCTGTGGGCAAACTACGGCCTGCGGGCCGGATCCTGCCGGTTTGAAATGAATAAAACTAAAAAAAAAAAAAGACCGTACCCTTTTATGTAATGATGTTTATTTTGAATTTATATTAGTTCACACAAACACTCCATCCATGCTTTTGTTCCGGCCCTCCGGTCCCGGTTAAGAACACATTGTGGCCCTCGAGTCAAAAAGTTTGCCCACCCCTGAGCTAGAACCATCCAAAGGCACATTCACTCACATGTCTGGCTGTTGATGCTGGCTGTTGGACTGGGGTTTCTGTTCTCCATGTTGTTTCTCCCATGGACTAGATGGGGCTTTCGTGGTGGGTGGATTCCAAAGGCAAGTGCCTCAAAGAGGAGCCAGGAAGAAGCCACATCCCCTTGCATGACATGGCCTCAGAAGTCATGCAGTCATTCTTGCCACATTCCATTTGTTAAGGCAAGGGCAAAGTCCTGGCCGCTTCAAGTCAAGGGGAAATGGACTTCACCCTTTATGGGAAGTACATGTGGGACAGGAAATATTGCTGTGGCCATTTTTGGGAAACACACTGCCACAGCATCACCTGGGAAGTTGGCGGATATGCTGATTCTCAGGCCCCACCTCAGACCCATTGAATAAAAATATGCATTTGATTAAATGCATATTTGATCAAATAAAAATCTTATTTGATTTCAGAGAGGAAAGGAGAAGGAGAGAATGATAGAAACATCAATGATGAGAGAGAATCATTGTTCAGCTACCTCCTGCATGCCCCATACTGGGGATCGAGCACACAACCTGGGCATGTGCCCTGACTGGGAATCAACACATGACCTCCTGGTTCATAGGTCAATGCTCAACCACTGAGCCATGCCGGCCAGGCAATAAGAATCTTCTTTGTTGTTATTGTTAATCTTCACCCGAGGATATTTTTTTCATGAATTTCCAGAGAGAATGAAAGGGAGGGGGAGAGACAGAGAGAGAGAAACATCAATGTGAGAGAGACACATCAGATTGGTTGCCTCCGATGGGGACTGGGGATTGAGCCGGCAACTGAGGTACATGCCCTTGACTGGGAATCAAACCCTCGACACTTCAGTCCGAGGGCCAGTGTTCTATCCATTGAGCCAAACTGGCCAGGGCGCATTTAATAAGATTCTAAGGTGCTTCTTTTGCATATTTGCAAAATATGCAAAAGAAGCACTGTTCTAAATCACAAATATGGCACTGTTTTGAGCAGGAGGGGACATGAGTTAAGTTGAGAAAGCCCCCTCTGGCTGCGTTGTGCAGCCAGCCTGTCCTGGTAGTTTGAAAATATTTTCAGGCGGTAATGATGTAAAGCAGTGGTCGCCAACTTTTCGGACCTCAGGGACCACCAGTCATCTGCGGACCACAGGTTGGCGGCCGCTGATGTAAAGCATAGATAAGATTTATTTTTTTCATCAGGTCAATGCCAGAGAGAGAGAGGAGAGCCCTTTTGTGCCACATAGGGTCAATGGAACAAAACCAAATTTCCAAAGGCAAATATTGAGTCCTCAGTTCTATAACCTTTCATGTCCCATTTTTCTTCATCTTCCATCTTGATTTTTTAATCCTAAGGATTCATGGCCACCTTTCACTCCCTCTTTTTTTTTTCCTTTCATAATTGAGATTTTATTGTTTTGAGGATCTGTACACAGACATTTCAATTTGTACACAATTCTTAACATTCGTACCAAAATGTAAAGTCATGTAGTTTGATTCTTTTCTAAACAGTTATTCCAGTGACTTTCCAGCTTAAAATTTAGAGGCTAACTTTCCTTAATAGAGTATCAAGTACCAATATCTTCAAATGTTGATATGCTGTTACATCAAAATCCCACTAATTCACAATTGAATATCATATATACCACATAATCAAATTTTCAATCTTTCACAGCACATTGACGAAGTTACTAGGAAAACCGGACTACCACACCAAAGATGTTACAGGTGCA